GGAGATGGATGTTTCCGAGTTCCATAGCAACCGTGACTAAGTCAACTAGTACCTGAAAAAACAATCAGTAGCACATCCTCGTGAAACAACTAAGACAAAAACGAAGAGCCCAAACAAACCTGCACTGTCACCAACAGAGAGGATCGAGGGATTCATGTCCGACGCAGTGGAGAGGCCGGGAAAGCGAAAGAGAAGCAAACAAAGAGAAGAACCGAGATGATGCACTGATGGAAACATCTAGGAGGCGCACAAGGGCAGAGGCAGGCGCTAAAGGGATAGAGGGAAAAGGAAATGCATATCAGGGAAGAGGCAGAGAGACGCTACCGAGAGGCACAGCGGTAAGCAACGGCAAGTTGGAAAGCCTTACGCTGCAGAAAATGGAGCTCTCGCACGTGGCCGGAAGCACTGTTGCGACAATGAGGCTCTGAACCATGAAAGGAGTTACACACAAAAGAAGCACAAACGACGTTACTGGCTTTCTTGGTTGCGCTTTCTAGGCGTATGAAACGCCGCAAACCACACCTGCGTCGAGGCAACGCCGGCTAGAGTGAGCGGAGAACGGGCTTTATTCACCTTTCCAATAAGATTAATGAAGTAAAAGGCAGCTGCCAGTGCCAGTAGTCTTTTCGTGCCAGTCTGGTCAGCGCTGCACAGGAAAGGGATGCGGCAAAGGCAAGGGGTAAGGCCGTAGGGGGAATAAATGAAAGCAAGTGACCCCGAGACAAAGGTGTTGGAAATTTCATACGGCAGAATGCTGGGTTGTTTGCTTGGGATATCTGCATACTGAAGAATGAACCCACAGATTCGTCGCCTTGTAGATTGCCGCCACCGGACCAAAGCAGAAGGCGGCGCAGGCAGCAGCATGCAGAAACGTCATCTTTTCCCTCGCCTTTGGACAGCTGAAATAAAACTTTTTGATTAAACAAGCGGACGGGCCCGGAAGAAAGGTAGAAGTAGAGGCAGAAAAACTGTACCTCGGTAGAGGGGCAACGTAACGGCCGCACTAGGCGACCGCACGGTAGCGTGCGTGTGGAGGGAAGGGGAGTAAGTAAAGGAAAAGGCTAGTCCTGATTCTTTTTGAGTGTCAATGATACAGGAAAATGAAGAGTGGATACAGACAAGCCGACGGGCTCCAAGCTTATACAAGCAGCACGGCAAATGGGCGGGGATAAGCAGACAGGCGAGCGAATAACAGCCAGAGAGGAGAAGATCCAATGGCAAGTGGGTACTGTCATGTCGATTCCAACCTGACTTTGAATCAAAGAACGTAGCAGGGGGAATATTTGCAGTGTGAAGAGACTTGTCGGGCCACCGCAACTAGTCGACTGGTCTGCACAGCCGAGCAAGCAGAAGGTGAAATTAGTTTAGGTAACACGTCTACTATAATTACAGTACTCAACGTTTCCCAATGAATATTCTAACTCGAGCGTATCAGGCAGTTATTGTGTGTACCCTTGCAGAGGTATCGCCAGCTGGGAGTGGGACTGTATGAACGATTGAGTCATGCATGCAATTTCTTCGCAGCATCAAAAAGGGCTCTTGATCAAATGGCACTTGAAAATCTCTCCTCGATTGTTTATTTCTACTAATAGCTTAATCTTATTTTGGCTGTCATAGCGTACAGATCGGCTGGCGGGCCGGCCGCAAGTGGGCCCCCACGGGTGCCGGTTTGTCGATGGTTCTGTTTATTTGCCTCTTCTTTACTCAGTGTTCCATTTCTCTTGCTCGAGTGCCCAAAGAATTTGAAACTCCGAAGGGGTCCTGACGGATCCTCGAGCTTCTGGGAAGAACGACGAGCTCCACGACAACACACTTTTCTATTTTGGTCGTGTCACTCGTCCGGTTGTGCATACACTGCCTCTCGGACCACTTTTGTTTCCCAGCACTACTGGTTCCCCTTTTTCTAGCCTGCTTAAATTCCCAGAGTTTTGTTCCTGTCTTCTTTCCACTGCAAGGTACACCGGCTGCCTTCGCCTCTCGTGTGCTCTGGCGAAGCCTCAACACAGAAGACCGCCTCACGTTGTTCCTCGCAGCCGTCCGCTACATAGGGAGGCAGAAGTGGAGGAGTGCATCAGATCCGTGAATCTCCTTGTGGTGTCTGCGTATACCCTGTTGTCTCTGCGCATATGGGGATGTCTGTATAAAGATGCTGCGCAACGCGTCTCTTTTTGGGAAGTATTTGCGGTGTTTGGGTCGAGGAGCGCAGAAGGGGTTTAAGAAGAAGCAGATCCTCCCACCTATACCTGTGAAGGCGTACGGGCGTCCGCCTTCTGCTGCTTCTCAGTGCGGTCTATTCCACGACGAGGACTACAACTACTACACAAAGATATCCTTCTCCTTGCGGAAGCACCGGCGCAAGCTGAAGCCAAATGTACTCAAAAAGGACTTTGAGTCCGAAGGTTTGAATACAGTTGTGAAAAACTTAAAAGTTACGACTTCAGCGCTCCACGCAATCGACGACGCGGGAGGACTGGATGAGTATTTGCTGCGGACGCCCCCGGAAGAGCTGCGCAGCGTCCTTGGGGAAAAGATGAAGGCGGTAATTCGGTTTTACGACCGAAATCCTGAAGTTAAGCAGTGGGCACTCCCGTGGAAATCATTTGCTAGCGCTGCTGCTCGTGCTGATCCTTGCCACGCGCTATACAAACACCTCAGGGGCAAGGAGTTGTACGAAATGCGAATGCGAGAAGAGCAGCGGCGTTACTCTCCTTACTTTCTACCCAGCCCGCAGAGCATGCACCCCATGAGGCAGCCTTTTCCTGATGGCGCTGCAGACCCTCAGCTGCCCCACCTTGGCTGGGCAGTGAACCCGGTAGAGGCGAAGGCATTGCGGCGACGCCTTGGGATGGCTGTGAACCAAGTGAGGGCTCATGCATCCCACGAGGAAGCAGACGGATTCCGCACGGGAAATAACAGAGGAGGCGGCGGACAGAGCGGCTCGTCGCTCAGAAAACGCTCAAAGACGCACAAGTGGAGGGAGATTCGGGCCTACTGACAGGTATGCGCTGCCGCTCCTCCTTTCCAGGTGTGTAGGCACCTGCTCCGCGTACGCACTACGCCGTAAAATCACGCATGAACGCGTTCGCCTCTTTCTAACACTTTTAATCCGTGATGTATCTTACAAACTGCAAATAATTAACTTTGCTCCGCATACTCGATTGCTTATGCAAACATTTGAATGCCCCGGTGCACGCCTTCGCTGTCACAAGCTATGAACGAAACACACTGTTAACGAAACAAATTACAAACACAAAATGACTATCAGCGGAGCACGCAAGTTCGTGCACATCCATGAAACGAGGACACAAGTCTAGCCAAAGGAAACGAAAGGGGTATAGAATGACTTGCTAGGCTTCATTTGTGATGTGGCCTCCCCTGAGTTACTACACACGCATGGGGCGCGCCGACAACAGTGCAGCGCGAACTCTTTATCTCTGAAACTAGAAACCCTGGACTCCGGAGGCTTGAGAGAGGCGCCTCGTCGGCTGGATATGCACGTGGAGTACAGGGGATCCTTCATAAAACTGCAGCTCACACAGGCGTTAAAATGAACGCAGAAAAGCCCTACCCCAGCGTCGTATCCCTCGCCCAGGAAGAAGGGCCGACGCTCTCGCCTACAGAAAACAGCTGCGAGTTCATGAAGTGTTCTTCCGTACGTGCCTCCCAGGTCTTCTGAACTGCCGATGAGCAGTGGCCTCCTGGCTGCTGCAACTGAGCCACTTGCTCCGTGCACTGCAGTTGCATGCGCAGCGGCATATAACAACAGCTGCATCTGTCATTTGCCTGGCAGGGCAATGAGGACTATTGAGGCGATAAGGAGGATCACGACGCAGCAGCAGAGGCATTGCAGACAGCGGTCATGGGCTGCGTTCTTCGCAATTGCGTGTGCTGTCTTCTTCGTGCGACCGATGTTTACTTCAACGTTCTCCAGGCCGTCCTTCACGCTGTCGAGTTGCTCATTCTGCTGTTGCAGCCGCTGCAGTATGGCCCCCCCCATCTCCTCCGTCTCCGCAGCCTGCTGCTGCGTCCGCGCCAGGCTCAGCTGCACAGCAAACGACACACAAGGAACAACAATAAATAAATTAGGAGGCAGACAGACGAACCCCGAGAGACGCCCGAGGAACCAAACGACGCAGATGACAACAGGCAATGAAACAGCAGTCAAGAACGAGAGCAAAACGCGGAATAATCCAAAAGACACCTGAGGCGTTTGACGCGTCCACCTGCAATCCATTCCCCCTCGTTACTAATTTTATTTAGGTTTCACTTTTAATTTTGGTTTCACCTCCGTTTGGTCCTGGATTTCGTCGCCCAGCGTGATTAGTTGTTGTCGTTGTTGTTGCGGGCACGCCTCTGTTGCTTCTTCTTGTGGTTGTTCATGGGCTCTGTCATAGCGTTGCAGCAGTTCGTCTTTGCTTACGGACAGCAGCTGCTCTTCACATTCGGCGGCCACTTCTTTGAACTGTTGCTGCAGCAGCTGCTGGCGCCGCACCAGGCGTGAGATAGCTTCCGGACTCAACACAGATGACGAACATCGCAGCTCCAACGCCAAGGAACGCATGCAAACTGTCGCCTGAAATATTTAATACACAACAGAACNAACAGACACGCTGGTTCTCAGTTGGCTGTGCGCATCCCACTGCCCGCACATACTCAGAGAGGGAAGTTTCACGCATGAAATGCAACTCGATTAGCCACGCAGACCCAAGCACACAAGCCTACGCATATAGTACTCCCAATGGACCGCAACAAGAACTACAGACGATGACTGAACACACGAAAATGCTCCGAACTTCCCTATAGACGGAGTCTCCAACAGTTTGTTTTTTTGCCTATTCGTACCTCTTGTTTAAGCTTATTTATTTGAATTATGTGCTTTTGTCGATCCTGACTGTTTGTCAGCGGATTCGAAGCAAGCTGACGGACGGCCTCCCTCAGGTCGTCTATCGCTTGCTCAAATTGCAGCAGCTGCTCCTCCACCTCTACGCCACCGAGGCCGTCTCTTCGATAATCCATGATCGGTATGTGCGTAGATAAGTTATATTGTTTAGCCGCCTTTTGATACTGTTGGCCTACACGATCCCTTTAAAGCTGTGAGATCCTGCAGGCAAGCCTGCAGACATGCAAGGCTGCCAAACTCTGGACCGTTGCAGTGGTAACCTCTATAAGGTGATCAAGTCATTTAAGCTTTGAACTCCCTTTGAAGGCTGCCTTTTTAGGCTGTAACCCCTCGAAAGCCTAAAACCTTCTGACGACCTCTGAGGCCTTGGATGCCTCAGAGGTCGCACAGCCTCCGGCCTTGTAAGGTTTCTCCAAAGCAGTTTGAGCACCTCTAGACCTGCGAAAAACTGCAGGTCCTTTTGGTAATGTACGACACCGCGTGCCCTCCCAGGGATACACCCTTGTCGTTGCTTGCCGCTTGTTGAGGTATGTCGAAATATCCGTGCAGCAGGAAGCCGTCAGTCCTGTGTAGGAGCCACCGAGTCTGAGTGTTC